TGCTCCATTTGGGGGGATTTTGATGTTCTTTACACCGAGTTGTAATCCATATCGATGGCTGCAATGCTTGATCTTCATTCAAAAGTGCTTCAAGTCCTCCTCACTCTCAGCAAGCAAGGTTGTGTCATATATATATATATCTCACAAATTAATAAGCATGGTCCCCATTCTTCTTCAAATAGTCCAGCTTCTCAGAAGATTTTTTGCTCAGCATATTGACTGCATAAACATGGTGAAATACAACCAGGCCACACACCTTTCCTGATTTCAAAACGTACAATATCCCTTTGTTTAAACGACTGTCTCTTGGTCTATGTTCAGGTTCTGCCTGGACACAGGGAAGTGTTCTGGAATTTCCATTCTTTGCAATGTATTCATAGTTTTTATGATCCACATAGTTGAATACCTTTGCACAACCAATAAAACACAAGGAAACATCTTTTGGTATTCTTCACCTCCATTCTGATCCACATGTCATTGGCAATGATATTGCTTGTGCCATGTCTTCTTCTGAATCAGCGTGAAAATCTGGCAGTTTCCTGTTAATGTACCCTTTTTAACTTATCATCAGGAAAATTTATTTGCATGTGATATTAATAATATAGTTTGATATTTACCACATTCTATTGGGTCACTTTTCTTTAGTATATAAACAAATATGGATCTAGTCTGGTCAATTGGCCAAGTAGCTACTTTCCAATTTTCTCGGCATAAACTTGTGAGGGCTTCCTGCACTACACTGTGTGGTGAAACATTTCAATTGGTCTTCCACCAATTCCTGGAGGCTTGTTTTGGCTAATGCTTTCAGTGCTGCTTGAACTTCTTCCTTCAACTCCATTGGTTCTTTTTAAAAATCATTTTATCGGGGGCTCTTACGACTCTCATAACATTCCATACATCAATTATATGAAGCATACTTGTACATATGTTGCCGTCATTGTTTCCAAAACATTTTCTACTTGAGCCCTTGGCATCAGCTCCTCTTTCTTCCCCTCCTTCCCCCAGCACCATTGGTCCTTGATCATATGCTACCTCTTGAAATGGTTGAATGTTGACAAATTCTTTTTGGTGCAGTGATTTTCTGTATTCCTCCCATCTTCTTTTGAAGCTTCCTGCATTGTGCAATATTTTGCCCGTAGAATCCTTCAGTATTCAGCTTGAGACTTGAGTTTTTCTTCAGTCCTTTCAGCTTGAGATATGTAATCTTCTTTAAAGATTACAGTGCTGAAAGCCCTATGGGATATTTCTACCCTGCACTAAGGGGTTGTGGTCATTACATAATCTGGTGTCAACTTGAAGTGTAGGGGTGGAGTCTAGCATGTCAATCAGGTCACAGCCTGTGGGCATGGCCTGCTCTTAATGAGGATCCTGCGAACTTCCCCTCTTTCTCGGCTTCACTTCGTGTGGAGGAGCCACAGGGAGACCTGCCAGAGCCCTGTGATACTTCCACTGCCATTGGAGCCACACAGACTTGTCACCCACCAGCCAGTAATTTTCCTCCATTCTGCATCATTGCATGTGACTTTGTGAGTCCGAAGAGGGACTTATGGACTAATATCATACTTATGGACTAGCGTTGGACATCTGGACTTGAGTTGGACTGGGCTGGGCTGCTTTTTTGATACATACTGACTTCTTGATATAAAGCTCTTTCTTAGAATTACATGAGTGTCTCTGGATTTGTTTCTCTAGGCAACCCAGTCTAACACAGAGGTCAATGAGTAAGAATCAACTTGATAGCAATGATTTTCTTTCTTTCACTTTATTTAGGGTGGAGCCCCTGAGTTGGCACCTCAGCTGGGGACCACAAGGTTGGTGGTTTTGTGCCCCCAGATATGCCTTGGGAGAAAGCGGGGCAAACTGATTCTGAAAAGCCAGCCGCTAAAAAGCGTGTGCAGCCCCATTCTGCTCTGACACATGTGGGTTTATCTTGAGTGGGAATCAGCTCCATATAAATGGTAGAGTGTCAGGTATGGTATTTTATGCCAATAACAAGTCAGAAGGCGCTTACTGGCCTTGATGCCGACTGATAGCCATTTGGCTTTCTTGCGTGTGCCGTTATAAAGCTTTACTTTGTCTCCTCAAGCTGTCCTTTGACATTTTTTGTTCAGTCTTAAACTTCATCACAGCAACCCTTTATTGGGTTTTCAAGGCTGTAGAATTTTATGGATCGTGTGCTCCCATAAAGATTTACAGCCTTGGAGTCTCTAGATAGGGTCAACGACGAGCGGGAATAACTCGATAGCAGTGGATTTTTTAAATTTAAGTTTTTAGGTAAATCAACAAGGAGACCTGGTGGCTTAACCGAGTACACTACTAGGGCTTCTTGCTTGTGTTCCTTTGGGTACTTCTCTATCTGGGTTGACTTCTGGGTGATGTCATGTATGTGAAGCTCAGGTTGTCCTCTACTGTTGTTGGCTCTCTGTCCAAAGGGCTCCCCGTAGTATATCTTGTAAGGTTGGTTGTTTGTTTTTTTGTTTTAGAAATTCTTTTCATTTCTGTTTATCTGGAAATGTCCTAATTTCACAATCATATTTGAGGGACTATTTTGCTGGGTGTCTGATTTGGGGTCGGTAGGGTTTTTTTTCTTTCCAAGTCTTATGTATGTCATTTCATTGCCTTTTTGGCCTGCATGGTTTCTGCTGAGATATCAGAGAATT